AAGAAGAATCTACCGCCGGCGAACACGACGGAGGAACTCCGGGTTCATCTCCTACTGCACGATGTGAAGGTGCCATCGAATCCGGTAGATGCAGACCGCTTCTTGAAGTGGACGGTGTTGGTTCGGACGATGGCGTGTGTATTTCGTTTCGTGTCGAACTGCAGGCGAAAGTTCAAAGGGCTGCCTATCGAGACATTGCGGGCGACGAGCGAGCAGATGAAGGTGCAAAAGTCAACCACGGTGGCGAGTAATCGCATACCGTTACAGCAGAACGAATACAAAAAAGCAGAGCGGTGCCTCCTAAAATCGGCGCAGTCGGAGAGTTTCATCAATGAATTGAAGGTGCTGTCGAGAAACAAGGAGCGTTCGGTGAATCAGTGGCTGCCAATCGAGAAGTCAAGTCCTCTGTATAAGCTGACTCCCATGGTCGATGAAGATGGGCTGATTCGAATGGAGGGTCGAGTGGAACGAGCAGAATTTTTACCGTTCGATCTGCGATTTCCAGTGATTCTGCCGAATGGCCATCGGATTACGAGATTGATGGTCCAGCACTACCACGAGAAGAGTGGCCACGGGTACCGCCAGGCGGTTAAGAACGAACTGAGGCAGCTGTATTATATTACACACATAGATGCAGTTGTCCGGAAGGTGTCAGCGTCCTGCGTGTGGTGTAAGGTGAATCGGTGTCGTCCTGAAGTTCCAATGATGGCCCCGCTGCCAGTACAGCGGGTCACACCGAATCTTTGAGCCTTTAGCTACGTCGGTGTCGATTACCTGGGACCATTTGATGTGACCATAGGACGCAGAACGGAGAAGAGGTGGATTGCGCTGTTTACGTGCATGGTAACACGTGCCGTGCATTTGGAGGTGGCACACGGGCTGACCACTCAGTCGTGTTTGATGGCGATTTACCGGTTTATGGGTCGCCGGGGCTGGATGATCGAATTCTTTTCGGACAACGGGACGAACTTGCGAGGAGCCAGTAAGGAAGTGCGGGAGGCTGTGCACGGCATTACAGACGACTGTGCAGACCAGTTAACAAACGCGAGAACGAAGTGGACGTTTAATCCTCCCGCTGCACCCCACATGGGAGGTGTTTGGGAGCGCCTGGTCCACTCTGTGAAGGAAGCGCTGACAGCACTCGACGATGGAAGGCGGCTAACGGACGAGATCCTGCAGACAGCAATCGTTGAAGCGGAGTCCAACGAAGTGGAAGCGCTCACCCCAAATCACTTCTTGAGTGGAGCGTCACCAAACCAACCAAGTGGCACTCTTCCACCTCCCCATCCTGCCGTGGCCCTTCGAGATGCGTTCCAGCGTTCGCAGCAATTGGTCAGCGTAATGTGGGAGCGGTGGATTAAGGAGTACGTGCCGTCGTTGAACCAGAGGACGAAGTGGTTCGGCGAGACACGACCATTGCGAGCAGGAGACCTGGTGTACGTCGTGGAGGGAGCAAATAGAAAGTGTTGGATCCGCGGAGTGGTGGAAGAGCCCATCGTATCCGGTGACGGTAGGATCCGTCAAGCGTGGGTGCGTACCAGCACCGGACGATACAAGCGAGCGACAGCGAAACTGGCCGTGATGGAGTTGGTTGAGGGTAACCCTGAGCCGGACGTGGCCCCTTGGACAGAGTTACGGGCCGGGGAATGTTCTGGCAACACGGACCGTTCCGCCTCGCGATCGGCCGATGAGGCGAGAAGCGGTTTGGCCGATGAGGCGTGACAAGGTGACAGGTGAAGTAGAAGTGACAGGTGAGAAAGAGATAGAAAAAATAGTTAGAAGTTGATCTGACAGAAGTCGTGCAGAGGAGAAGTAAACAAATAGAAAAGAAAGACTGAAGTTTAGTTTATTGTAGATTGAGATTTAGAGCGTATTTGTTGGAAAAAGTGAAGTTTCGGTGCGTTTTTTGAGAAGGTTAGTTCAACATACAAAAATTGAAACAAATTTAGAACGAAATAATTAAATAACAGTTTTTTACGACACATAGAGGAGGTTAGTCGATGATAGACGGATCGACAAGCTAGATTGGCAGACAGGTAAAACATGCAGAAACCGTTGAAAATAAATAATATTAATGGCGTGTGGATTGTGTGGAAGCGAGATTGGAAAGACAAGGAAAGTTTAGAGGAGGAAAACAAACTAAAATTGTGAGTAATACTAACACTAAAACTCGTGAAAATACTGTACTAATTTCAATGAATTTCTCATAAAATTGCAGTTTGATCTACCTGCAAGAAAAGGTTGATTCAAGAACGGTTTGTTTTATTCGATCTGAACAAGGATGTTATTGGAACAGTTAAAAGTAGCATATTTTATCACTTCCACAACATTGTGCATTACATCGGGGACATACCCCGTTCACATTACAGCGTATATCATGTGATATACGCTGTCTTACAATGAGCACTCATACATATATTTTTCACTGGAAATCCTATGTATGAGTGCTCATTGCAAGACAGCCTATATTACGTGATATAGGCTGTAATGTGAACGGGGTATTAGAGTGGTAGAATGCATCGTTTTTTTAAGGAAACGTTTTGAAAGTACGATTTTAAACTGTTTAATGAAAAACTAAACAATATATCTTTCAACAATATCATGAAAATGGATTGTTGGGAAACGGGAATTGAACGGTGTAGTGATCAACTTCTTCCCGTTCTACGATAATTATATTACGATGGAGATACTTAAACAGTTATGCATCCTATGGAACTCCCCTTATCGTAAACGTCCTCGTGGTAGAGATGAATTATGCGAAATGTCCTTGCAGAATGTCCATTGTGCCAAACGTCAATTATGCGAAATGTTCCGCCCCCACCTATAATTGTTTTTTTTGACGTAAGACTACGTCTGTGATTTCTAAAAGGGGGTACACTTTGTGAAAACGGAAAATGGAACATGTAACAAAATTATGAAAGATTTTGAACGTTAATAACTCAGCTGCCCCTGGACCAATTTCAATAATTTTATCACAAATCGATCAGAAATATTTCTACGCATCTGTTAAATCTAAGACATTATTATTTTTCAAAAATGTCACTATTGAAAATTGCACGGATTTTCAACTGTTGCTATGATAGTTAAAATTATCACCGATTGCCTGCGAAAAACGATTTCCCTAACAGAGATTTCAAAGTTGAATTCCATCCGGTCTCACTAAACGGTGTTTATTCAATCACCACGTGGTGAGTGGTGGTGTTCTCCAGTACACAACGAAAGGCTCCCCGCAAGCAGCTAGCTATCAAGGCTGGCCTCAACCGCTGATCGTATTCAGTTCCAATCACCGTGTGTGGTCGGCATCAACAGCATCAGCAGTACTTTCGGCACGTGGTATTGAACATTGTTCTCCAGTGCACAACGAAAGGCTGCCTGCAAGCAGCGAGCTGCAGCCCACTTGAGCATCCACAGAAGGCGGAAGAAGCCGCACCGCTATTGATCGGAATCAGTAGCTCTTCGTTTGCCGCTGTGGGCCATCTATGTCAAGCGCGTCATACTAAAGAGTATAAACAGAGAGAACCCCGCTCAAATTCCTATTCCTACACAAAACACAAGCTCCTGCTGCAGTTAACATTTATTATATAAGATCACGTAGTTCTACGTCACCATTGCGTACAACCCCATAGGGCTGTCCCTTGTAGTTTTTTGTAATTCAATATTACCAAAATAACAGAATATATCAATGTCGCACCGTACCCGCACTCAAGGCAGCTAACCGTTAATGAGAGCACGAACATGCGATTATCGAAGACACGCAGCGTCCCAACGACCAAACAAAACAAGTACTTAAGTGAGCCTGTTATGCTTCTGAACCGAATATCGTGACTTGGTCACGATCGAAATCACGGCAGCAGCTGTCTCTGATACAGAATCCGGTGCTAGCCACGCCATATTGTGTAACAGAAAAAAATAACACAAAATTACCCACTAGAAGAAAAATTCCTCAGCCGAAATTTGAAAACTTCAGTAGCAGCGGTCAACCATCCATCCCTGAAACGCCAGTTCAACAATCGTGGCGGAGTACGTGAGTTAATGTGTACTGTGGTGGTGGTGGTCAGTCATCGTGCTTAACGGGCAGCAGCAGTAAAAGATCCCGTTAGATTTGCTTGACCGACACACGTTTGTTCGTACTTTTCTTTTGTCTGCTTGCTTTGTGTTATTCTCGGCGAATGTGCACTGTTCTCGGAATAGCGAAACATGGGGTCAGGAGTTGTTTAAGTTTCAAAACTACATCCTTGAACTGGAATCTTCTCCATTACGGGAGAAATTTCTATCAGATTCTCCAATCCTCTGACCAAATTTCTGACATTCGTGTGCTGATTATCCCCATTAACGAAAGCCATTAATTGTAAAAATTCTCCTATTCAACATCGCTTTCCCGCTCGATTACATAATACCAGCAAAGCACTAATGTTTCATTAGTGACATTTTAATCGAACCGAAGATCAACCTACCAAGCATACACCCGTATCTCCACGCATTGATCACACAGTAAATGAAAAACCAGCCTTCCCCTGCACGCCACCTTTACTCTCCCTTTTTTCCCTGCTATCAGCCGACGCATTGAAAAACACGTACGTGTCTAATGTACATTAAATTGTTTGAAATTAATTTTACAGCGCACTCATTTCCTTGCGCCCGCCAATCTCGGCTGCACATGCGTATACGACTAGTACAGAAAAGTGCAGGACAGTGCTGGTAAAAAGTTTCCGAACCTACTGCCGGTAGCCAACGCACGAGACAGAATATCAACAACGCCGGCTGCCACCCCGTTGCTAAATCAATTGGTTTTACTGTGTAAACACCATTAAATAATCTGTGTTCCGTCAGCTCTGCCCCGGGGTAGCCATCGGCTGCGCGGAAATCCGCCCGCCCGACTCGGTTCGGTTGATTGTAAATTATTGCCCGCAAGGGCGCCTCTTTATCTCCATTAACGTCATCGTGCGTCATGGATTTTTGCACCTCATCTAATGATCTTTTCTTGTATTTCCATTTTGCAGCGTACTAATCTTCCCACCGGTGAACAACTATCGGCGGTTCCTGATCCACAAGGTGTGCGAGAGTCTCGCCGCGGACCATGAGCTGGTAACGTTCTCGATCGGTGTCGGCTGCGAACGGCGCACGGTGGTCTGCTATCGTCATCAGCTGCTGCGGGACGTCAAGGCGACTTCGAGCAAGAGGTGAGTCAGCGCCGCCCGCCAGTGGAATGTTTTGCTACTTTGAATACCCGCAAGTCGCAGCCGAAAAGTGTTGTCATCACCAATGAAATGTGCCATTCCTCGCTGGTAGTCGTTCGATAATTACGGCTAAACGGCTGTTTGTGTCTCATGTTTATGGCTCTGGCCATCAAAAATACTTTTCCAAGTTTAAAATTGAACCTCCCACCAGATATAGGCCGGCTCAATCGGTCTCCCCGAGAGCAACATATAGCTTGAGTCTCGCAGAATTACTAAAAATAGCGCACCATCATCGCACACATAAATAACCACCCGTGCGCGAGAAATCATTGGCATCTCACATTTCAATGACCTGTCGCTTGTCTTTCGTTGTTGGCAAACGATTTCTTATGACTCTATTACAATTTTTTTTCTCTACATTAGAGTATCACTTTTCTTGTGATTCGAAATTGACCCTCTCATCTCACAAATTGGTCAAAATGGCAATTAGTAATCGCTCTGATCTGGGTCAACTTTTTTTTTTTTTTGTGGTCGTTGCCGCATTCTGTCTAATTTTGTTACTTCTTTGGTCGAACTCCGATTGAACTACGGCATGGGACCAGCTGTGAAGGTAGTACCAAGCAGCAGCAGCAGCAGCACCGGGGTGTACTGAATTGCTCATTCCGCAGGCGTTTTTATTTCGTTCGCAAAGTATCTTTGTGTGAAGCCTGACCGGGCTAGGCTGGTTCGTTGGAATATTTTTCTCAAGCATTTTGAGTTAATTATTTGTTTGCACAGTTGATAATACACGGAACGAAAATGACACGTAAAAACCATTGGTTTTCATATAAAATTGCGTTATTGGAAAATCCTATAAAACGGATCTTTTTTTTCCAGGTGGCTACTGTTCTCCGCAATATGTCTTAAATGATGCTCATATGAAAATCATTGACACATAACTTTCATTTGTATTTTTGAAAGCGATATCTTCATTGGATATAATAGCTATTGAAGTTTTGCTTCAGTGTAGGTCTGCTTTTCTTACTTGCTTTTCTGTAAGCAAGCAGCAAAAAGCAAAAGTATGTTCTCATACTTTCTCCACCATATTACATATTTTCTTACACCAACTTATAGAAAGCTGCAGCATCTTACACTGAGGAAAATAGACTTAAGAATTTCATAAGGCTCGAATTATGAACGACACATATGAATTTCATAAGCACGACTTACGAAAAAATTTATTTCGTCTTACATGAGGTAGCTCTTCTATGCCATTAGTCATTTCATTTTCCCAAGCGATGACAGACTCGTAATCTCAACGTCCATGGTTCGGTTCCAGTCTGCTCAGTTTTATTATTTTTTTGTCGATATTATTTTTCATAAGGCAAATCAATGAAATTCATACCGATTTCTTGTAGCTAAAATTCATAAGTGGTTCTTATGGAATTCTTACGGTCTTTTGCCTCAGTGATACCAGCAAATGCAAAAAAAGCAAGTACACTGAACCAATATGACATATTCCTGTTATGTGGAAGTCTAATAAATTTGCGCTATAAGAAAATCCAATGAAAACGATATGATTGAAATTCTTTCAGGTCAATTTTATATCAATATCTGATACATTTACAATGGTAACTTTTATATGATCGTCATATGATAAATGAAAATTGGTCAACTTATAAGAATTAACTGAAATGGATTTGAAACCCATTAGCATAAGCTTTACTTTTCACCATAGTATCATATACATGTCATAAATCAATCTTATTAAAAATTATATGAAAATAACATGATATTTATTTCTTGTTTTGACACATATATTTTATCGGTTCTAAAAATAAATCGAAAAATAAACATCATGCAGTGGGAGGTGGTGCTTCGAGTGCTTTCACAGTTGCGCTTTATTTTATTTTATTGTAGCTGATTTGGGATTCGATCCAGGACTGTTGAGGTGTGTTGCTGTCGGTGTTTTCGGACGCTTTTTTTTTGGTTTTTTTTTTTAATTTCAATACATTCTCTTCTGGAACCCCTTATCTTATGGGACAATATCAAGTAAAGATTATAAGTACAGGGCTGGTAGCGAGTCACTTTTTTCAAGTCAGTCACTAAAAAGTCTCTTTTTTTTAAGGCCAAGTCACTAAAGTCACTTTTTCTTGAAATAAGTCACTATTTTCAACTTTTTTAGCGTTAATTTATTTCAAGATTGATTATTCTTTGCGTTGAGGCGTTTAATCGTCTTTCTCTATATACAGGATGTTTACTCATTTTTCTGGATAAAATTACCTGAGTTTTCCAAGCAAGTAAGTCTAAGATCTAAAAATATTCAATGTTTTGAAGTTTCGTATTCCATGTACAAGTTCAAGATATTGAAAAGATTCAAAGTGCCAGGATTAAGTAAGACAATAAATGATTTATTTCAAGTTCATAATTAACTTTATGAAAGATTAGAAATCTTCAATGCAGTCCCATTAACTGTACAACAATTGTAGGAACTTTGGAGAAGTTCTGAGGAATGAAAGGAAATGCTGAGAATATCAGTGAAGCTCTATAAACAAACTGCAGGAACATAAGGGAAGTTAAGGCCGGAACAAATCACAAGTTTTTTTCTTTTGTCACTCGATGCTCGCACCAGTCGAGGGGGGGGGGGGGGGGGTTTAAAAAATAACAAAAAAAAAAACATTTAAAATTCGTTTTACATTATATCTAAACCGTATATGGCAAACGCTAACATTTTTTCTTAGCCTCCGCTTTAGCCTTATACTTCTTTGAAGCCGTGATTTTTGACACTAAGGCCCCAAATGTTGACTTTATTATGTGTAACACTCGAGTTATCAACAAGATATTTCGCGCATAAGTTTTTGTATCCTTTCAAGAAAGAACATTGGTAATATTGTAGATGAATAGGATCAAAGCAATTGATTTTTAAGTATTGATAAATTCCGGATAAAACATCAAGAGGAATACCACAAACGTAACAGTTCTTATGAAAAAAACGATCTGTTTTCGATACTTCCTCCCTATCCAAATATAACTCAGTTTTCTCAACAATTGTTCGTGCTTCGAAAAATCTAACTAGACGGATTCAGGAAGTTCAAAGAAAGGAGCCAAAATCCATCTTGACTTAACATAAAAACCAAATTCTAATGAAAATACGAAGTTTTGTCAATTTAAACCTGGCTTTGGGTGTGCTTAAAAAAATAATCATCACATATAAATTCAGCAAGGTCAATTCTATAAAATCTAAGCATAACTTTCAAAGGACAGTATCAAAATCCAACGTAGCAGAAAAGGAAAACAAAAAAAAACCTTTTCGAATTACAAATCCGGTTCAACCTTCACGTATGGATTCAGCAAGGTCCATTCTAAAAAAATACAAGCCTATTTTTCAAAGATATGAGGCAAAATGCAATTTGGCAGAACCAAAAAACCAAACTTCTACGTACTTTTCAGAATTCAAACCCAGTTTTCTAAAAAAATTGTGCACGCTTCACCATGCATTACCATCACGTATGGATTCAGTTAAAATTTACCGTCACGTATGGATTCAGTAAAGTCCATTCTATAAAATTCAAGTCTATTTTCAAAGATCAGAGCCGAAATTCAACTTGGCAGAACAGAAAATCAAAGTTTTTATGAAAATACGTACTTTTGTGAATTACAACTCGGTATTCTCAAAAATTGAAGAAATTCAACCCTCACGTATGGATTCAGCAACTACTATTAAAATACAAGCCTATTTTTCAAAGATAGAAGCCAAAATTGAGTTAAAAAAACAGAAAAATTAATTTTTATGAAAATACCTTCTTTTGTGAATATTAACCAGGTTCGTCCTTCCGGTATTCAGCAAGTTCCATTCTATAAAATCCAAGCACAAATTTCAAAAGATTGAACCGAAATCCAACCTGGCTTCTAAAAAATCTAACATCACGTATGAACTCACAAAGGTCTATTCCATAACATCCAAGCCTGTTTTTCAAAGGACGGAGCCAAAATCCAACTTGGCTGATCAAGAAACCCAAATTTCTATAAAAATATGTACTTTTGTGGATGTAAACCCAGTTTTCTCAACAATTGTGCTTGCTTTAAAAAAAAATCAGATATGAACACACGAATCTACGTTAAAAGTTAGGTAAATCACTTCAGGAAAGCTCAGACTATCATTCAATATAATTCAATCACTCAACAGAAAAGTTTGGACTCCCTAAGGAAGGGTTTGAATCACTTCAGAAAAGGTTGGACACCATTTGGAAAATTTAAGCTCAAAAAATTGTCGGTTCACTTCGGAATACTTTCTACACTTTCACTAAGCAAGATTGTGTCCTTGCCAAATGCCAAAGCAGTTAACAAAAATCTGGAGCTCACTTAGGAAAATATCAAACCCGTTTTGACTAGTTTGGTTTCAGTTCGGAAAAAGTTAAATCAATGCAGGAAACCTTGGATTCAGTTAGGAAAAGGATTAATCAGCTAATGTTGCCTCACTTCAGAAAATGCGAAACCAATTCTTTAAAGATTGGATTTGGAATATGTTGTATCACTTCAGGATAGTTTTGACAACTTCAAAAAGGATTGAAAACATAACAGAAAAGTTTAAACTCAGTTAGAAAAATATTGATGATTTATTCGAAAGTTTAAACTCACTTCAAAAAAGTTCAGACTCAGTTTTGAATCTGCCTTGAAAAGTGTCACCTCAGTTAGGAATTTCCTGAATCGTTTCTGATTTGGTCTCACTTCTAAATTTTTTGAAAAGATTGGATTTAGCTCAGTTAGGAATTTCCTGAATCGTTTCTAATTTGGTCTCACTTCTAAAAATTTTAAACCAATTTTGAAAAGATTGGATTTAGCTCGGAAATTGTTGAACCACTGTAGAAAAGAAGTGAATCTTTAAGAATCATTTCAGAAGGTTTGTAAGTTAAGAAATGTAGATCGAATGTAAAAATCTGGCGACTACGGTGGGCTGGGCACATCGTAATGATGTCGGATAACGATCCACTGAAAATGGTTCTTAGTAGTGATCCGACTGGGAC